TCTTTGTTTCTGAAAGTTCAGACTTAAACGCAATCCCTCGGTCTCCAACTCATACGAGGTCAGCAGTTTTCTAAAGTCTCAGATTTGTCGTTGTCTTTTTAGTATGGCTTTTTCCTGTAACTGTTGTTGGTGAAGTTTCTGTTCGGTACCACTAACCAGCTGTCCTTGTTAGCATGGACTGACGAGGGCCTCGCAGGGTCATGATGGTTGATAAGCCTCTACTGCCAAATATATTATTACCATGGTAGGGTGGTGCTTTGGATTCATTTTTTTCTTCTTGATCATTTATAGTTTTCTCTAGTGTTCATCATTATGCAAGGCTGTTGGTGGCAAGATGTTGATATAAACCCATGTTAAGGTGTATTTGCATAATGTTGTTTTCCTATGGAGAGAGCATAGCAGCGGACTTCATGGAAGCGCTGGTGTCGTGCCCCGCTAAAATTCGCTCCAAGTGTTGCGCACCAAGTTCTAATTATTTATTTTTAAGTCTAATGATTGCCACTGATGTTTCGACATACATCCAATCAGTTATCAGCTGCATCCTGAAGGCAGCTTAAGAGTCTGAATAGACACCTTTTTAGCTCAAGTGTCATAGTGCATACTAGGCTAAATGAACACCACTGCCAGTGAAGCTATACAAGGAGAAGCATTGAGTTGGTCATTTATTTTGCCTCACTAAATGTAAACCTTTACACATTCTCTGAGTCAAACTGAATTTCAGGAACTTTAAGCAGTCACACCTCTGTAAGTGCTCTCTCACTTCCACTTGCTGTGTTATTCCCTGCTTCGAGCTGTTATTCTCCTGTAAGCTCATTGTATTAAGCTGCCAGCATGTGTTGCTAGTAGGGACAGAGCACCCAGGGGAGTGTTGGTCCCAGTCTCATCTACCATGCAGGCTCTAACCATACACAGCTGATAACTAGACACTATACTAATCTCCAGCAGCTGAACATTGGCAGAACGGTGTGTACTTTTACTACTGGTATTATATAATTAAGCATCTATAATAAGATCCTAAAAGGGGCACCTACTTTAATTTCAACACAAATAAATGGATGAATTAATCTTGGCCTCTAGTAAACCTATTTATGGCATTACCCAGTACACATGGAGGAGTGAGAGGATAGAAACGCTATTTTCCAGGAATGAACTAAATTAAATATATTTGCATAATTTTGAGTTGGTCATGCCCGCTTATATCTCTGGCAGACTCACTGGAGGCAAAAGAGGAAGGACTGATGTCTCATTTCCTCTTAGAGGTGAGAGGATTAGGCTGTCTCAGATGTTACATTTAGCTCCTGTGAATATATCCCTATCTTAAAAAAGCAAGCTTTTATGGCAGATTCTATTTTCTAAGAAAGCAGTAGGCGTTTCTGCTTTTTTTCAAAAACCACAGAACACTGATTAAGGAAGGGAAGAATTAAAACTCTGATAACCTTTTTATTTAGTTGCGTTCATGCACAACATAAATCTTCAAATTGAACAACACACTTTCAGACACACAGAAACGCTCATCAAATAAAGTGTTGGCAACATTATTCAACAAGTTGTTGAGATACAGACTCAACACAAACCCTAGCCACTTGTCGCACCTTTATCTTTAAAGGGGCAGTAGAGGTATTTTGTTCCTCTACTGTGACATGTCTCCATGCTTTAATGTTCAGAAAGCTCTTTATTTTTCTCATACTGCCTGTGCTGCAGCACCTCTTCTCCCCCTCTGTCTGAAACCAGAGCCCAGTCTGCTCTGATTGGTTAGCTGGTTGGCTCTTTTGCGATTGGTCAACCACATATGCCCCTTTTCCACCAAACCGGTTCCAGGGCCAGTTCCGGGCTACAGCCTGATTTAGCTCTGGTTCTTCCTGTTTCCACCGCAGCGGAGCCGGCTCTAAGCACCGCAAACCGGTTCTTAGCTGACCCCACTTGGCTGCCCGGCAAGAACCAAGAACTTCAGGCTTACGTCGGAGGAGGGGGGCGGAATTAACCTGATCAACAACAACAAAATGCCACTAATTCTGTTTAGCAACACACACAACTACGAACCAGGATGGATGCCAGTAAATGTAAGCATGACTGCTGAATAATAATAATAATAATAAATGATATTTATATAGCTCCTTTCAAGGGACCCAAGGTCACTGTACATGGTGGACAAACAAAACAAACAGACAGGGAAGGGGTGTAGGGATGGAGGAGGTCCGATAAGTACTGGGGGGCGAGGGTATGGAGGGACTTGTACGTGAGGAGGAGTGTTTTGTACTGAATCCGGGACTTGACCGGCAGCCAGTGGAGGTGGATGAGGGTGGGGGTGATATGTTGCCATGGCTTGGTGTGGGTGAGAAGCCTGGCGGCAGAGTTCTGGACATACTTGAGCCTGTCCAGGGTTTTGCTGGGAACCCCGGACAGGACTCCATTGCAGTAGTCCAGACGGGATGTGATGAAGGCGTGTACAAGTGTTTCTGCCACAGAGTCAGAGAGTGAAGAGCTAAAGAGACAAATGACCTCCTCAGGCTTTGGTCAACGCAAGAGGTACAGAGGAAGTTGGATGGCACAACGCGGTCTAAAGCTATTCTCCAGCAGCTGCAGCGGGAGTTGGCCACCTCTGGATACCACCGGACTCTGGAGCAAACAAGCAACAAGCTAAAAAAACTCAAGAAAGACTACCGGATCATTGTTGTTGTTGTCGATATGAGGGATTTTCGCGCTGTGTGGGTGTCATAAGAAGGCACGTAAACGTTTATGTGATGACGCAAAGGATGACGCAATGACGTAGCTTCACTCGAGCTCCACTCGGGCTCTGAGCGTTGGAAACACAAGTGGTGCTACAGAGAAGAACCGGTTCAGCACCAGAAAAGCAAAAGAACGGTTCTTGAACTGTATCTGGTTTGGTGGAAAAGAGGCATTAAAGATGTCCTGTCCCCTTAGCCTATCACGTACAATGTGTTGGAGTGCTAGCCAATGAAATGAGAGTGTTACATAGTGATGTCACTATGTTATTGAAGTAAAAAAAGAGTCCAACAGAGGTGTTTTTTAAGCCTTGGGGAGGATGGAGGGGAGTGTGTGTGAAGGACCAGGTTCACAGTGTGAGAGAGAAACTCCCTCTAGAGGGAAAACAGACCATTTACATGCACAGAACCATATAACACACTACAGGGAGACCCCCCCCCCCCTTCCCAAAAAAAAGCAGAATAGGGCCTCTTTAAATGGTAAGGGAAACATTGGTTACTTTTGAACATCATGATGAATAATGAATATTTGGACATTTCAGGAAATGATTCCCTTTCTTGCTGAAAGTTAGATGAGAATATCAATACCATACTCATATTCTGACCCTGTATCGAGAAGCATTCCACTGTTACTTTAGCAGCGTCAGTAGTCATGTAATATGTGTACATACAACTTTTGTCCGAATTTTCACAACTTTTTTATTTGTTATTTTACTTCACTGGATTTCAGTAACATATGTCAAAGAGAAGTCCACTGATTTAGCATCGCAATGGATTGATTAAAACAAAACAAACTGTTGCAGCCAAACCAGAAATCTCGACTGATTTGACTGCATGCTTTCTTCCTCGTTAAAACCTCAAAGCATGAACCACAGTGAACTCCTCATGCCTTTTGTTTTTTCTTTTTAAACTTGAAAAACATATTATTTTAAGTTGACACTTCCCCACCCCTGCCAGATATTTGATGATCCTGAGCTCCTTGGTATTTTCTGTAAATCCTTTCTTGTTTTGTTTTTGTAGACACTGAAAGATGTCCAAATATCATATGCAAATAAATCCACACATACATGCAGGTATGGACACATTTACCTCTCTGCTGTCGCTTCTCTTCCTCTCTTTCAAAGGTCATCGTGTCCACAGGGCTCAGACCATTAATTGTGATTTAGAAGAAGGCATCATTAATGATGCACTTATAGGATTACATATAGGACACAGAGGAGAACCTGATGCACACACAGACATATTGTGTTGCATTTCTTGCTCCCCTGCTAAATGTCACAGCTGAATCCTGAAGTTCATGCACAGCCAGACGTTTCATTGCTGTGATTCTGATTACCACATTCACTGTAATCTGAGTGCCATGCTATTGTACTGAAAGGAATTACCTTTCATTGACTAAGAATATCTTTTGGTAATCAGCCAAGGGATTCATCATTTCAACCTATAACACACACTTGTTAACTTGTAACACACGCATCTTTCAAATCACAATTTCCTTATAAAGAACGCTGTACTAATTAATGATTCAAAATCTATACTAAATGGGTTTAGTTCCAAATACTGAATTGATCTCATGTCTTGTTGTAACCCTTGATGTATTGACCAACATTTTTTGCTGTTTATTGGATTGTTGAGTCTATTGTGCTTTTTGGGGTTTCACCTGTCCTGTAATGTGTTATATAGGTTTTCTGTGCATGTAAATGGTCTGCAAAGGCTAACATCCCTGATTTGAGTTTCTCTATTTTTTTAATACAGGCCAAATCAAATATTCGTGAAATGGGGAAGCCAGTCTTAGTCCACATTCATTAAAATGAGGCCAATTGACGATGTAGATAGCGATATAGATGATCCCTGTAGATTCCTTTTGATTTGAACACCATATTTCTACTGTTAACTTTGGAATAGTTGCGCCAAAAGATAATAGTTGCCAGTGTAATAGTTTAGTTGTAGAATCGTGCCTCGGTATTATAAACTACTGTGCAGAGTTTTGAAATCTAATGACCCTCACAGCTCATGGATCTTTTACTTAGACTGCTCTCCAAGGATTGTGTTTGATTGTGTCAATGGTACCAGAAACTACACACACACATGCCTTCTTTTAACACAGTGCTTTTTTTCAGTCTGAGCGCCTGCTACCTCATTAGTCACTATATAACCACTGGAAAGAATATGACACATAATTGTTCAGCACATAAACAACACATCTTCTTCATTTTATTTAAGATTATCTTTACACTCCCATTTCTTCATCTAATCCTGTGTTGTCTTTTCTTCCAGATTTGGCCCCTCCGAGGGACCCTCATCGCCTCCAAAGCTACCAGAACGCAGCGAGGCACACAGTTCACAGCGCACTGTGCCTGACAGCAGCCATAGAACAACGCTCGGGGGATTTGGAATCCTGCTTTAATTAAGGGAAGAACATCTTTCCTAAAAAGCAAGGAGCTCCTGCAGTCATTACACTCCCGCAGTTTTCTTTTAAAGACTTTGGTTCATCTATTATTTCTTCCACTGTAGACTCTATCACCAAGATAGAGTGTGTGTAGAACTGCAGGTGAATCATTTCATTAAAGCTCTGTCATAAAGGCTTTCTCTTGGATTATCAGGGCGCTATTGAAGGTCAGCGTTCCTTAACTGCCACCGCCCCACTCGTTCGTTTATCCCTTTTTCGACTCTTGACTTTGAAGGGTTTTTGTGGGATTAAGTTTTATGCCCTTGGACACTCTCTTCAAGCAGCTATTCCCCAGGAATATACTCAAGCCAAAACTTTAAGGAAGATAGCCGCCCGGCAGGATGCGGCGAAGGGAAGGATAAGGCCGGATAGAAAGGAATAGAGGGAAGTGAAGGGCAGATGGCTTCTCTGCGCCGAAAACACCAACAGCAGAATGAATAAAACATCGGAATAGAGAAGGTGTCGTGACATCTGGCTGAGGAGTGAGTGAGATACATTCTCCCTTTTCTTTTCCCTATTCTGCCCACTCCTAGTATCCCTAGCATCATCATTCCTTGTCATCTAACCATCTTTCACTTACCCTCTCTGGACACCCAGGCGCTCAATCAAACAGACAGGAACAAGCTTATTTCAACGTTTAGTGAGTTTCCCCCCCCTCACCTTCTCTTCCTCCCCCCTGGTGCGGCGTGTGATGGTGTGTCCCCTCCTCTCTTTCCTGGAGACATGCCTGTGCAGGAGATGGCGGTGAGTCCTGTCAAGTCGCTGTACTGGGAGCAGTTCCCCCCCATGACGCAGCGCCGCGTCTACTGCACCCCCGTCTACCACGAAGGCCTTCTCTATGTGCTGGGGGGCTGCAGCGAGACCGGCGCCCCCCTGGACAGCGTGGAAGTCCTGGATGTAGAGAGTCAGACGTGGAGCCAGCTGCCCCCGCTGCCCACTGCGAGGGCGGGGGCCTCGGCTGTGGCGCTGGGGGGCCAGGTGATGGTGCTCGGGGGCATGAACCAGCAGCAGACCCCCCTGCCGTCCGTGGAGATGTACCACCCCGACGAGGGCAAGTGGGAGACCAAGGCCAGCCTGGGGCAGCCGTCCATGGGGGTCACCACCGTGGAGAGAGGTAAGAAATGGGAATACATGGTTGTAGCGCTGTTTTTCAAAGCAGATGTTGGTTGAGAGGTTATGAATATATATGGTTGTGATGTTTGATGAGACCAAGATGGACCAGCTCGGTTCCGGTCTGGGTCAGTTGGTGTCAAAATGACATGTAATACTTTCATGTCAGAGCAACAGTGACGGCTCCATTTGCAACGGGACAAACATGGAAACAAGATTCAACATTACAATCACTGAGGACATGTTCAAGACCCTTTAACGTACATCTGATCCAGGATTGACCTGCATGATGATTATGGTGCGTTCACACTGGACTTTGACATACCTGGCTGCTTGTACATACTTTTAACATGCACAAAGCAGCAGTAGTGTTTATTTTGGCTATGGTTCATAAAACATTCAGTATCTAGGTTTGTACATGGAGATAAGCCCCGCCCCCTCTCAGGCGCATCTTTGTTTGAAACACAAATTATGCCGCGGGAATGCAATGACCACAAGTAACACAAGGCTAATCTTTGCTTTGCGTTTGGTATCAACGCACCATTATATAATTAAATAGGCGACTGATGACTTCCCTCTGGTGACACTGAGGGATAGATAGTGTTTTACACGTTCCATCCCATTCTATACTCAAGTATGAATACAAAATGTTTCCTTGTTGACTTGCAGATTGTTCGTGATTCCAGAGTTGTGCTTTGGTGGTCTTGAATATTACTTATCCACGTACACAATCTTTGTTTGACAGTTGGACTGTATTGCAGTGCTTAGAGAGCGCTCATTCTAGTTTTCAAAATGTGTCAGTTCGTGACGCCAACATCAATTACTGACACAACTTCATGCAGGCTCATTAAGATCTGCTTTGGACTTTGAAGCAACAACAACAGCAACAGCAAATTGATTCCTCTGAAGTGGTGATGTTAACTAATTAGCTGAACATTTTTTGGAGACGCTCTAACTGATAGTGGAGCTCCTAAAGTGTCTCTCGAGTGGAAACGGTTCTCTTCAGATCAAAGCTGAGTGAGGCTGAGATCGATGGCTACTCACACAAACCATGAATATGGTGCTTAACTTGGGCCCATGTTTTGATTGTTATCACTGGGAAGCACCAGATTCTGATGAATGAATGTTGTGTCGAAATAGCATACGCAGAACAGTTGGACAAATGGGCAATCAGTCCAACTGGATATTTTACAGATTTAAGGGGATTGGGCAGGGTAAGGAGGGTTACTTAAAAATGTATTCCATTACAATTACTAGTTACATGTGAAAAAAATTCATTAGCAACCTAATCTTAGTGTCAAAATAAAAAAGTAATGTAGCCTGATTACTTAATTTTGGATTACCTCAATATCAAGAACAATGGAAATAAATAAAAGAGAAAATAAATATCAATAAGATTTGTTTTACTTAAGTTTATTATGCAGGAAAAAAGAAAAATGTAGAAGAGAACCATGATATTTAGTAGATAAAATGTGTCCTTTGGTCAGAGATTCTATTAATAGTAAAAGCTGCCTTTCATGAAGCACATTCAGGCAGCAGCCTATACACCAACACTGAAACACATGAGCACATACTAGAGTTTAAAAAAGCAGAAATAAAATCGGAGCTGACAGGAAATGCTCCGTTTTAGTTTAATACACACAGTTAAGCTCATACACACTATTTTATGAACATATAGGTTCACCTACTGAATTAAAAACAGAACAAATGAACCAAAGAAAGTGAAAACCATAAAGCAGATTCAGGCAGTAGGCGTATAGATTCACACTTAAAGTTTTATCCTACAGAACAGTTTATAGAGAGGAGATAACATCAGATCCTTTACAACAAACACTATATGCTCAGTAAGTTTGTCATTAACATTGTAGTCCTATTGATCCCCATTTTTTAGAAACATGATTACATATTTTTTCATGTAACTTTTTATTGTAATCCGTTACTCCCACTCCTTGGATTGGGAATATGCTAACTGCATTGCATATATACAGGGCTTTTCCAGTCTCTTTGACCCCTGAAAGCACTTTTACTTATAACAGTCAGCATTCACACACATTCATACAACTTTGGCCATGAGTAGACATTTGGGGTTTCTTACCCAAGGATGCATGGACATGTTGACTGCAGGGGCTCGTGATCGCACTAGTCCCTTAATCTAAAGCCCATTTCAGGGAAAATTGAAAGGTCCGATTCTTACAGTATGTTTAAGTATTACTGACATTTTGTTTTTTCTTATTGACCACATGAAAGTATTTCAGTGCCCTAACTGCTACAGTCAGAAAAGTGACCAATAAGCCGCTGTTGAACCTTTGCACTTTGAAAATGATTCAATGCAGAAACATTTTCAATTTCCTCATTCTACTTAAATCCACACTGAACATGGAATGTTGTGTACTGACTGCTACACCTCCAGCAAGTTGTACTCTGTGTGTGTGTTTGTACAAGCCTACTGCGATATATCTTTCTGTGAATGCACTACCTCGTGTGTTCTGTCAAACACAGCTCGTGTTGAAGCGCCAGTCGTCACGCAGCGTACCTCCACTGAATAAACATACTGGACTCGTGCTCACTCCCCAGGCGAATGCAGGCTGTCTGAGGCTGTGGATGTTGGCACAGAGGAAAGGAGTCGTGAGAAAGTCAGGAAGAGAGAAGAGTGGGTGGAAGTGGTTCTTGAGTTTATATTTGTGAATTTATTTTCTTTCTATTCTGTCTATGGAAAGTATTTCCAATAAATATTACAATAATGGAATACTGAAGGCTGACAATGAACAGAGAGGGAACAGAAGTTGCTGACGTTTTTGGTGTTTATGTCTCAGGCTGCTGAGTGCTGAGTTGATAAACCGAGGAATCAATATGACCTTTCAAGGTAATAGAGACAGGGAGGGAATATTCTGTGACAGGCATCTTATTCCATACTGTATTTCATGCACATGGTGAAAAGGCACATGCAGTCGAGTGTCATAAAATACGTTGGATTCCTCCAGCATTTCTGGGATGTTTGGATTTGGATTAAAGGCTATTAAAGGGGCCCTATTATGCTCAATTTCAGCACTCGACAGGAAAGGGAAAACCCCAAAAAGCAGAATGGGGCCTGACATGCGGATATTTTGGATTCCTCCAGCGTATCCTAAAGCATTACAGGTTGGATTAACAGGCGTATTAACTCAACTTACACTCAAGTTTAAAACTGACAATTTAGTTGCATTCCCTAAACCTTTCTCCCAAACAACAATTTTTTAATAACAGCTTAGCAACTGTAGCTGGGAACTTATCTGCTATTTTTAGCTCCAAATGTCTGCATTCTGGCTAATTTGCTTACTGCTTCAGTGATCCACATTTAATACATTTGGAACGTTTACTCCACGAGTTAATGATGAAGCATCCATCTCTGATACATGAATTATCGACTGGTAAGAGTGTTGGCTTATTGTCGTAAAAATGCAGCTCCAGCCCCAGACTTTGACTCAAAATGATGTAGCTATCAAGAGTTGTTGGCTGGAAATAAGGGACTGCTATTTTCCAATTCTGTCTGAGATCATTGGTTTTAAAGAGAATTCTGATAGTCAATATTCCCTCCCAACTACATATTGAGATATATTGCATTTTAATTAATTTCCATGTTTGCAGCTCGCAATGGTGCTGGTAGTTAAAGGGGCTCTATGATGCTTTTTGGGGTTTCCCTTTCCTGTGTGTAATATAGGTTTTTGTGCATGTTCTACCGAAACGAAACACAAGTCTAACGCCAAGCCTCTGAATTAGCACTAAGCGAAAGACTGCTAACTTATAACACATAACTCACGGTAGCAATATTTCATACTTCCTCGGATCTGCACAAACAAGATATCATATGAAAGCTGAGATTCCACAGATTCCAATAGTATAAGTATCATCACTGTGCGACCAAAACTCACGGCAGCGAAGGCAAGCAAAGACAACACACAGCTTCACTTTACGGGGCCAAAACGGCAAATACGTCTTACCTTTGCTGCTTTCTGATCAAAAGTTGTTTTCAAGGGCATTAAAACGCATATAAACGCTGCTGAAGGTTAATCCAATGTCTCTGTGTCACTTTGAAATGATTATTGATAATCCATCATTATATTTATGTCACTAAACACAGTTTTCATATAGAGTGTATGACAGCTTCCGGTTTTGGGCATGCTGGCTGCGCATCACTCTCTTCACTAATGGTAATGTTTAAATGGATTTAGGAACTCCCTCTCGATTCTATTGGCTCTAACGGTTCAAAAGTGGTGTCAATCACCAAAATCAGAGACATGGCAAATACACCCAAATGACCCCAGAGGTGGTTTTTATCTTTTTCTAAATCTCTCTAAAAAGGTCAAATGTCACTTGTTTTTGCATCAATCTCGATACAGGGTACTTATTATATGTTATAGTTTGGATTCCTAAAGCTTTTAGTCTACTATCCCATCATTCAAGGCTGGTTTTCACTATAAGTAATGTTTTTCTTTTGGACGGACACTATAATTTACATTTTTTTACTATGTTCAATCTGAATTTACTTTAAAATAAAAACATCTATATTGATTCTGACTTTTCTACATCCAACTCACAGGTGTATCATTGCTTTGAGAAAAAAGATTATTAATGTACCCCTTTTTGAAGTGAAGATATAGTCATTTGTTCTGGGCATGTCATTTTCGAGCCTGAAACCTGAAAAACAGGCTTGGGGCTCAACAGGTTAATGCATGAGACATGACACAGTAGAGGCCTCTTTAATACATGTAAACCATAGTATTTTAGCAACAACTTCATATTATTTTATGTTTAATATCATCTGTGAAACCATGCAGTCTCTGGTGCGTTGTAATGACACTGATACGGGGCATGCTTTCAGTCTGAAAGTGTTGCAGCAGAAGAGTTGTGCTCTAAAACCCTGCAGCCAAAACACTTCCCTAAACTGTGCTGTCACACTCATTAAAGGTAAACTCCCATTTAGGAAAAGCGTAACATGAACAGCTCGGGGCTCATGTTTTCATTTTG